AAAGGGGCTGGATTCACAAAGCAGGATTAGACTCAGCTTTGCAGCAGCTTGCTTCTACAAGGACCTACAAGGACCTTCTATAAGGTCTGGATCTGATGCCTATATGTAACATGGGCAGGGAGCTGTCAGAGAGAAGGGATCGGCTGTGGTTTAGCATGGCAGGCAGTTCAGCACCACACAGCCCTTTGCCCACCCCCCACCTTTCCATCAGTGGCGCAGGGGGGAGTATCAAAATACACAGATGAAAACCTGAGGGTTGAGATGAAGACAGTTTAATAGGACAGAAAAAGAAGCAAAAATAAATAATAATAATAAAACAACTCTTTTAAAAAAAATCATATACAAAGTAAGTGACGCAGAGTGCAATTGCTCACCATTTGCTGCCTGATAGCCAACCAGTCCCCAGCAGCAGAAACACTATGCCACCACCACCCCCCCACTTTTGTTGTTCCACATGACACCACATGGTACAGGACATCCCTTTGGCCAGTTGAGGTCAGCTCTCCTGGCTGTATCCTCTCCCAGATCCTTGTGCACCCCCAGACTCCTTGCTGGTGGGGCAACACATGAAACTGGAAAGGCCTTGACTTAGTGTAAGCAGTACTCAGCAACAACAAAACATTGGTGTGTTATCAGCATTATTCTCATCCTAAATCCAAAACACAGCACTATACCAGTTACTAGGAGGAAAACTAACTCTAATATAGCTGAAACCAGGACAGGGACACCCACCAAGGCCACTGTGCAGAGAGGAGCCTCCACTCTGGGAGAATGCTGAGGACAGGACAACAGTTTAAGGACATGGGGTCAGACCTGCACATGAACATGAATATGATTGGTAACCTCTGGAATAGCTCTGAGTTCAAAAACCAAGGTCCTCAAACCTTGTGTCTGAAGCAGAAGGTCTCCTACATATCCCACAGCACTGAGCAGGCAGGGACACCTCCACACCAGCCCGATTCTTATGCTCCTTTTCCTTCCTGCTTGCACTGGAGGTCCAGCCCAACAAATGTGCACTAAAGACAGAAACTACCATCCTGCTGTGCTGAGGTTTCCACCTGGCATAAATGAAAATGGGGACTGTTAGTGTTAGGTTAGAGGTTGGACTCGATGACCTTGAGGTCTCTTCCAACCTAGAAATTCTGTGATTCTGTGATTCTGTGAAAAACATTCTTTGGCCCAAATAAATGTCCTTTTCACTTTTTGTCATGCTTTGACTCTAGATGCTGAGCATCACCCATAATGAGTGCAAACTTGAGTAGTAGCTTGAGATGAGTTCAGAGTATTATCCTTTAGCGATGATAGGGTAGAAACTTGGAAGAACAGTGAAAATGCCCATGTTATTCTCTCTGTGCATTGACCATTACATAGCACTAAACCAGTGGGTGGTGACAAATAAGCAACTGAGACCACTGTCACATTGACTAAGGCTGAGACATTTTCTCTCAACTCTTCATGAAAGCTTTGTATAAAATTCCCTCACAACAAAAATGGGAGTCATAAATTCTAGTGAAAGTGTGCTCTTCACTACAGATGCCAAAAGCAGAATTCAACTGTCTTTCAAAAGTAAAAGACTCTTCAGAGCTAGTGTCATTGGAAATGTTTCATATTTTGGATTGACACAGCCCTCATTGTGCAGATTACATTTATTAATGTCTCCAAATTCATCAAGGTTTCATAGCTAGATGTCAATCTTTCCAAGTGTTGTAAATAAGGTTTTAAAACCCTCAAGGTAAAACTGCGTGCTCTGCACAGAAAGGATTTCTTAATATGTGGTAATGAAGAAAAATACATACATACATACATACATACATAACTTCTTCTTAGCACAATAGGATTCCAGAATTTAAGGCAAATAACTTGCTATACTTGCTCTTATTATATTACTCTTAATATCTTTCAAAAATTGTCGGTTTTAAAGAAACTCAGCTTTGTTTAATGGAGTTGATTCTGCCACAAAGGAACTGTTTTGAAAGTCCATTAGCTTGATCCTAATTAACTAGCAGACTTTCAATTAAAGTTCTTAAGTTTAAAGGCCAGTAACTCCACGATGTGGTTCCTCAATCCAGTCTCAATCCAGTGCAGACCTAAAATATGTTCAGATGGCATGGGTCGCCTCAGATCTCTATCATCTCACCTGCAAGTGTGCATCTCACTGTCCCCTGGGAACATAGTAAGGTTTTATCTCTCTAGCAACCTGAAAGCATCTCTCCCCATTTTCCATCTGGAGGTCTGGGATGACTCGTTCAGGCACACAAGTCTCAAGGACAGACATGAAAAGTTAGATCCTGTCCTGCATTCTGGAGTCTGCCAGAATAATTAACTCTTCAGTTATATATAACAATACATAACAATTCAGTTATATATAACAATATATAAGTTATATAACAATACAGATCTTGTATGGGCTGAGTAACTCTTTCCATAACATTTCATTTACATGTTGTCCAAAAGAGGGAACATATGGCAAGAGGCAAAGTTCTAGTGGTAGCCCTTGACTGAGATCAGCCTGCCTAAATTATGGCCTAACTGTTGTGTAGGGACCTGTGGAGAGAAGCTAAAATAAATGAGAGTTTAACTATAATTCTCATGAGGACAGGAGGACCCCAAACACAGCAGCAGCATACTCAGGGCTTTGTAGCCCCCAGTTAGCTGGGGTATGTGAGGTAGTTTGGCCAGAAGAAGACTAGATAAATGCATTCTTGAAACATGAACTGTTTTAAAGTTCCAGACCCCTTTTACGGCACAACAGAGCTAACCAGCAATCCACAACAGACGACCAAAAAGCATCATATCTGATATTAAACAGCATTGTGGAGAGGCATAGATTTTAGTCAGAATGATTACGTTTAGTGTTTCAATCCACAGACACTGTAAAAACAAGAGATTGAGTTTTATACAAAGCTGCTGAATAAGTCCTATTCCAAGCCATTTGCAAGAGCCACTGAGCAATATCTTATGGAATATCTTATTGTTTCTTTTGTGGCTTAAAGCCGCAGAGATGTGGGGCAGTTTGGAAGTATAAGAGCTTACCAGATAGGCTCCTTTTCCCTCAGAGGGTGAGTAATCAGGGTTCACATGACACCAGTTTTAAGGGGTCATGAATTTAAGGTACAAGATTACAATAGTACTGAAAGGTCACAGCTGTTTTCACCCAAAAGCTAGCTAGGTTATGCTCTTCCCCATCTTCCTGGACTTTCCACCAAATGGGAGTCTTAAATAACAGTAGTATACTAAGACATAATGACCACATAGCACATATAGTCCTCCTGTCTGATCATCTGAAAGTTTTTTCTATCCAACCAGAAAGATATCAGCCCTTTAGGGAATAAAATGTTCCCCTGAATGTGTGCAAGAATTTACTTCATGCTTTGTCTATTTCTATAAAAGGAAATAGAAACAGTAATCACATTTGTGTTCATGGGCTAGCAATTCATAAAGCCTCATATGGCATCTTGAGATACCAGAAGTTTAGTAGGTTGAACCTTGACCCACCTTATGAGCAGGCAATTCCATAGCTGTCAGAAACACAAAGCTTTCCCATGCTGGTCCAGGGTTTAAAAATGCTTTCTAAAACGTGTGGTAATTGCATCATACTTGCAAAATGAATCAAAGGAAAGAAAACTCACTTTTCAGAATAATCCTTCTTGTTTCATCATGTGCATCACCCAACAACATATCTGAGACAAGGATGCAAAAAGCACGAAAGACTGTGCAATCTCCGGAGTGCACCCCAAGCTCAGAAAATACCTCCTAGTTCACCTTTAATGCTATTGAATTCTTGTCTGTTCCCAATCAGATTCTCAGCTGCAGATTTCCTTGAGCTCCCAGTCACTTTGTCTCAGGTACTTTGTTTCCATTTGGTGATGATGGAATTAATTTGGCCCATATGCCTACATTTTTACCATCTGGAACTCCAGTGGCTTGAGAGAAACCCAACCACTGGATACAGCCTTGAGCTCAAGGTTCCTTTTTCACAAGATACAGCAGAAGAGCTAACAAAAATATATATGTTAAAGGGAGCAAATCAAAGTGCCATGGCAGCTGGGTACCTGTCCAACAGAGGGAAGGCTTGAAGGCTCCTAAGGTTTGGCCCATCCTTTGTTTATAGCATGCATGGCACAATAATGCAATCCCCAGTGAAGGGACTTATTCATATCTGTGAAAGGAAGTGGCTCAGCTTCAAAGAAATTTTCTACTGTAGCCATTTCAGTACTGCTTTTACATCCAGGGCTTTCCATTTAAACTTTGCATACTTTGACATGTTGACCATTGATCTGTGTTGACAAGCTGGCATGTTCAGTCCTTTTCATTTGTAGAGCAGTAATCAGCAGAGCTGTATAACCTTGTTTGGTAAATTCAAACCTGTTGTGCCTAGTTTGGTTCTCTCGGTTGCCTTTCACAGGTGCCTTTGGACATTGAACCACAAAGTCTGTAGGTCACAGACTGAAAAACACTATTCAGAATAGCAGACGTGAAGCATGAATCTGCTGCTCTACATTTAGAATAATTCCTCCTTGGATGTCCTGGTGATAGGGCTGCCCAATATACTAAATGTAGTTTAGTACTGAGATCTGAGAACTTATTTGCCCTAGCTTTTGAACTATAAAATCATAGTGAGAAGTATGTTGCTCACTAAGGAGAAGTACATGTTCGCATTCAAACTGGGTTCAGTGCAACAGCAGCTCTTCAGGAGCGTGGAAAAGGACATCCAGTGTTAAAGCTACTCCAGTGTTTGGGTATTGTTATAGTACAGAAAACCTACTGCTTTGGAGTAAGTAAGTGACACTGAAATTAATGTTAAAACAAGGATAGATTTGTATAGATTTGTATTTTAGATTTTTCAGATCAAGAAAATAGATACTGTCCCATTGGACATCAGTGCATTGCATCAGGCAGCTGTATAAAGCTATGTTGTTTGTAACCACAACCAGGTCTTTATGCAGACATTTTTTACTTTCTGCTTCAGATTTTGGACTCATACAAAGTTTAAAAAAAACAACAAAAACACCTGCAACTGAATTGAAATGGGTGCATTTCACAGGGCTCCTGAGAAATCTTGGGGTAAGTCTGACTTCCTTATTATTTTGATACAGAACCATACCTCAGACCAACTTCTTCAGAAATTAGTTTCAAGTTTGCTCAAAAAGTAGCAAGTGTTTTAATTGAATGAGTCTGAGCTTGAAAACAAACTATAAATTCAAGGAGTGTGTGTAGTTTTGGATCTCATATCAAACTTTCAAATGGATTTATGATTGAGCTCTCTCACTTTAAAAACAGATCATTTCATATTCTGAAAGACATCAAGGAGTCAGAAACACATTTTCAAAATGTAGTATGACAAATGCATGATGTTGTTCACATGTATACACTTGGTTTACTGTTTAGAGCAAGGATTTGCATGCAAAGATGTGATTTTGTCAGTATGAAAGTATCAGTGCATTTCATTATTGATGTTTTATTCCTTGTTTCTGGGACCAAAAAAAAAAAAAAAAAAAATACATAAAAACAATTACTACCCCACCGTCACCTTCTGTAAAACAGGATTCAATTTCAGTGCCTGGTACATGAGTGCCTTGGAGACTTCTGCAGTGATAGTGTGTGACTTGAGTTTATTTGGTCATATTTTATTCCTGTTTGATGTTTACATGCTGCTCTACTGTGGGGGAAATTAATCACACTACGTTCATCAGAGATAAGCTAATCCAACCAATGTCAGTGGTTTAGCAGGCACAGAGTTTTGGAGGACAGCAGTAAATTATAACAGGATTTGATGAAGAGGTAATTAGCTAAACCTGTTTACTTTAACCTTTGCAGCAACTATTGTTTTTACTAGAAAAAGAGCGTCATTAGATTGTGTCTGGGATACAAGTTATGGAGCATACACCACTTTTCACTGTCCAATTTTCATCTGTTATTCAAGGAAGAGGTAGAAAGGTCAGGATCAGATTGCTATTGTACAATTCTCCTGAGATGAGAGCAGAAAGTTTCCTTGACAGAGACAAAATAAGCCATGAAGAACAGTAGTTTATTTTTCAGTAGGATGGAGGGGGAGTCAAATGAACACATGTCTACAGCCCTAGACAGATTTTTGCAATAATTCAACTGTCTCAGTAGATTTGAGAGTCATTTGAACTCACTGAGCATTTTAGAGAAACAGGACAGAGTAATACCAATTTGCTGTACACTGTCAACTAAAATAGCTGTAAAATAGTTGAGAACAGAACTGGGTGAATATTTTTTCAACTGTACCACATTTCCATAAATTATTTTTAAACATATTCATTCAAGAGAATTAACAAAACCCAGAGGAAACCAACTCTCAAATTGTTATATAGTCATTTAATTTGCCACTTTAGATAACTTGGTTAAAAAAAAGGGTTTAGATCAGTCTGCACTGTTAACTTATGGATAGCATTCAGCCAAATTGTAAGCACATTTGGGAACTGTGTAGATTTCTGTTTCTTTGAAGGACCTTCAGTTTCATAAGTCACAAAAGGAAACGCCCAAGTAAATACAGTTGCTGAAGGACAAAATATAAGATGTTTTTACAGTTTTACAGCTAAATGCATGTAGATTTAATTCCCTAGTTTTGATATATAAAATTGTTATAGAAGAGGACCCACTTAAACACAGTCCTAATAGTTTTTATGTAGCTTGAAATACAAAGCAGTACTTTCCAACATCCCATTGATTGTTCCAGCTTCTTCAGATACAGTTTTCTCCCAAGAGTTCACATTTACATCCCAGAAAAACAAAGGAGTTTTCAAGCAAGTGAGACCAGACCGCAAGGTTTCACTTCAGTCAAACTGCTTTTGGATGAGGAGAGATATTTGGAAGACAGTTCCAAAGCTTTAAAGTATTACACACTCGGCAGCTCTTTTTCTTTTAACCCAATAAGATTCATGCTCAAAGATTTGGAGCTGTTATTGGAAAAAATTAAAATTAAAATTAATTCTCACTGTTGGGACTTGGGGAAGGAAAGATGCCTCAGTTATAAGTAGCCTCTGTAACAAAACCAATCATTTTCCACCTGAGAACAAATGTTATTGCATAACTTTGTTTTAGTCTGCCCAGTTTGGGCCCAGAACGACTCATACAGTATAGCATGATTACTACTCAAAACAAGATCGCATATTTGGTCAGCTGAAAATAAGTATGGGAATACCCCTTCCTATCTGGTTTCCTGAAAACTTATTGGTACCCAACAAGAGAAACCTGAAATACAGGTTTAAAAAAAAAAAAAAGGTAGGGGGGAGGTTGACTTACTGCTCCAGTACTTGTGAACCTGTGTTGTTTAGCCTTTGTTTGAGACAAGGAGAGTGCTCCAAATTTCCCATCTGCCAGTTTGTGCAGTTACAAATTACCCCATTTTGCTGAAAGAGCAAAGGCTTGTGTTGCTTGGCAGTGTGGGTAGCCCAGTTTATGTCTTCACTGGGTAATAATTTAAGTGACTAAAGTCAGGTATGGGAATGTTAGTATTTCAGGCCACTGGCAGAGGTTTATGAACTAAAAATGGTCTATTATTGTCATATTTTTAGAGCTTCTTTGGATTAATGAAATATGTGCTCCTTTTTAGATCTACAAAGTTTTTGCCATATCACCAGCCATATTTACTCTTTAACAGAGCCTTTGGATAGACACAATTATTTTAAATACTATTTTTCCACTGGTAATTTTATCTTTAATGCTTTTGTTTTGTTTTGTTTTGTTTTAATTCTGATCGTGTAAATCAGATTAGGAGACTAAAAGTGAGAGGGAAAGTGTATGTGTGCTTGGTTTCTTCTCCAGGTAGAACTGGCTAGACCTGAAAATAAGAACAGTTTTTTAACATTAGGGAACAGTTTTTAGTGTTTTAGAGAACCCAAATCAGCTCTCACTTTTTTTTTTTTTTTCTTAATTTTTCCCTGAGATAGGAATTTCACTTAACCTAGGAATTGGTTTTAACTTCAGAATAGCAAAAGTCATATTCTGAGCTTTCAAAAAGAGCCAGATTGTGTACAACTCTCACAGGAGACAGATAAATTGCTAATACCTCACAATCATTCTGTCCTCCTAAGGAAGTGACATAGAAGTCACTTGATATGAGTGCAGTTGCTGAAACGCTGTGATTACAGTGATTCCTGCCAAATAATACAGACCCATTGTTTACTTGCTGTAAGCTTTTGGAGGGAGGGATCATCTTTTCATTCTTAGTCTGGAAAGCACCCAACTTAATAGCGTCCTTGCCTAGGAAGAGGACCTCTTGCCACTAAAGTTGCACAAATCAAAACAAGAAAATAGATATAATTATATTGAAACTGGCTAATAGAGATATGTACTGACTGTCTATTCACTGTTTCACTGTTCTGTGACCTCACATAAATAAATAACAGAGATAGGTGCAAAGATAACACTATCCTTTCAACCCAAGAGATTAAACAAAAGGCCAGCTCCAGTTCCTTTTTTCATGAAAAAAAGTAATTAATTATGACATCATTTGTGCTTGGATAAAATTCTGTGCTTTCTTTAATGACTTTATTAACTTCTGCCTTCTGTAGTAGAAGACAGCCTCAATGTCACAGTGTCAATAAAGTCTAGTAAAGAGAGTCAAAGCTTGGTATTCCTATTCCACGGTAAACATCTATGTTTTGGGACAGGAGGTTAGATCTCCTTTGCAAAAAGTAAAAGTCTAAATGTTTCTGAAATAAAATCTAAGCATTTATATTAAGCTATTTACATTGTATCCTGTACAGGCAGTTGAGCATTCGAAGTAGCAAAAATTTCCTGTTATGTTAACAAAGTATTATAGGATGACATTTTTTGGCTGTTAATGAATGAGGCTTTGATTTGAAGCATTAAGACATTTAGTTGCCAATTTTCTAAGTCTCTTCAACTTCTATTTTTCATTTAAGATTGTTAATTACTCTTCACACTGGCTCTGTAAATTAAATTTTGTGTTGTTCAGGTCCTTTGAATGTTTGTCTTTACAGACACATGCTGAAATTAATTCATATTTTCCCTTGCATCAGCAAGTTTGTGCTGGGTTTCAAAACCCCTGGACACTTTTATTAGACTTCTTTTTGTATTTTTGTTTTTACTTTTTTCCTCAGTCTCAGATCCTTTAAACAAGATTAGTCAAGGCTGATGTTGTGCCATTCACTTATATTACCAGTTCTTGGGTCTGTCTGGTAGCAAAATTCTGTTTGCATTGTTGTTTTCAACAGAGAATGAGGAATTCTACCAAATCTTCTATCTTCTCTCATGTATCCAGTTTATGTTTACCTTGTTCATGAAAAGTCTTGCTCAGTTTATAATTTCCACTGAATTACAATGTTTGGCATCATGACACTGCAGCAGGCCCTGTTTATAAGACACTTAAAAAACTCCTTATATCAAGGCATATCATCAAATGCACTATATCTGTCAGTATTTCTAGGGCAGTAGGTCAGTAACTTCAACATTTTAAAGAACATTCAGTTCTAAAAAATAAAAATAAATAAAAATAAAAATACAGGACAATACTCAGAATAAGGCAACTTAAAATATTTTTATTACATCTGGTATAAAAGGTTGTGAAATTTCACACACAAAAATTCAGGCACACTAAAACATGATAGTGCCACTTTAATCTAACTAGCCAATACATATCTTCTTCGGAAGTTGCTAGTTAGGTATCCTTAAACCAAGGAAAATCAATATTCTTGTTTCAGAAAAATAACAGATGCAGGTGTTGAGCAAAGAAAAGTGATACTGAGCTGTGGATTTTCATGTGAAAACACCTGAAGATTTTACATGTCATGGGTACAGCAAACAAGCTAGATTGTCAGTAATGCTATTTGTTCAGCCTATCTACAGCTTGGTGTAATCCCTAACTGAGGTCCTGGCGACCTGCACTTGTAACTAATTATGGTGGTGGTTACTCCATGGCTGGGAGGAGATTGGTCTTGAAACACCCTGGTAGGATGCTCATTGAATGTGGATGGTGTCTGAAAATGCTTTTTGATTCCGTAATAGCTGTGCACAGGTCTCAGAAAACAGGTTGCCATGACTCATGTGCATGCTACAGGAGAACAAGATGAGTTGTATGCAGAATTGTTTCTCGAAACAATAACAGCTTAAGGCATTACTAAGCATTGTAAGAGATTCTGATTCCTTTTACTTTCTTGCTTCCAGGTTAGTCTTCTGCTGCTGCTTTCTTATTTGCTATGGCAACTGTCATGCTAAGCTGTACATCGCTACAGCCCTAGGCTCTCAGGGCAAGTGCCAACCCATCCAAAATAAGCCACTGAAACTGTACAAGCTTGTCTAAGTCAGCAGCCTCTGCTACCACTCTGATTGCAGGGAAAGTACTTCTCACAACTGGTTCATCAGACCCTAAGCCAAGACTCTAGGTGATAGATCACCTGCTGGAGGTGCCTCTTCCTCTTCACAAGGTGTGAAGGGAGCTTAGAGGAGCACAGACACCCAGATCTCAGATGATGCAGATTGACCAGAAGAGTTCCTCTGGCACCCAACTCTGCTATGCAGGAGGAGGAAGGAAAGACGATGATGAACCCGTGTACACGCCCAGGAACTTAGGAAGACATGTTTTTTTCCCAGGACCCTCCTCATCCCATCCCCAGAAATATCCTCACAAAGACAGCAGGGGTGGAGGTACTTGCCCTGGCTTCCACAGAAGCAAAAGGAAATAAATAATTTCTACTCTGGGATCCTACCAAACACCTCCCCTTACCATGTTCCTGCCTGTCCCCTCCGTGTCTTTCTCCTGCTGCCACTGCCAAGTGCATGGCATGCGCAAGCCAATAACATGCCTCATTGTACAGTGCATCCCACAGCACAGGAATTTACACCAGCAAATCTGGAACAGCAGATGCTGCCTAATGCAGCCCATACCTATCTGCTGCTCACCAGTGGAAATGTGGACAATAGCCTACTGCACTTTGCAGTGGTTTGCCCTTGAAAATAAAAAAGTTCTGCAGTAACACACCATGGATACTTCAGAAAATTACTCAGCAAGCCAAAAAAGGATGTTTTAAAAACTAATCATTTGCTAGCAAAAAGAGAGCATAATTCATTTGAAAACTTTTCGGACTGCAGACTAGTTTTAGGCTTGGTTTGGAAACAGTTTGTCCACTGACCGGACTTTCTAGACTACTTAAACAAACATGTTTTGCAATATATCCCACTGTCTTTCCTAGATGGAAAATTCATAAATAAATAAAATAAATAAATAAACACAATGTATTTTAAATTACTTTGACACACAGTGACTGGATCTAGGCTAAAACTTTGCCCAGGATTTATATTCAGCAACCCTGTATGAATGGAATGAAGCTCAGATCTAGGTATTTGTGTCTCTGAGTTTCAGAGGTGTTAGTCAGATTACTTCCCTGATTCTAATTAGATTTCCATGAGAAATTTGAGGGAGGGGGTTGGGAGCCACTATTTAAAGAGCTTTTTTAATCTGTGTTTCCAAGGCATTCCCTATCCTAGCCTGGTCTCATGCAGAGATAAAACCACAGAATTGCTAAATACAAATACTTGTGGGCTTTCAAGATTCTTTGCTTTTTAGCCCAAACCTAATAGGAGAGAAAGCTAAGCAATGAGGTTGCAAGATTTTCATTTTTCTTTTTTTTTTTTTCACCCCCTAAAAATGTAAAGACTCATCTGTAAGCATCTGCCCACAGCTAATGTTTCTGAAAACCAGATCTGGATGAGTAATGCAAGAAAATTTCTCCTTACGCCAATGTTAGGTAGTGGAGTTCCACAACACCCAAGTCCCCTAAGCCCAATTTATTTCCCTTCAGCCCGTTGCTTTTCCCACCGTGTCCCTTCACATGCCTCTGAGCCACCAAATTGCTTGCTGCAGCTGTGTGAGCGTATCCTTTCCTATGGGAAATATTCATGTCTCTAGGAATCACCATAGCAGATCCTGTGTCTCTTTCAGCCTGTCCCAATGTAACAAGAAGAAAGAAAAGCAATTGTCCACAGACCGTCATTGCCCACAGTCATCTTTACTCATCATGAGAGCCCCAGTGGTCAGTGAACAGCTGGACGTAAGTGAGAACAGCTCTGGGGAGCTTTGACTTCCATCCAAGATTGTCTTTGTCCCTGCCTTGCCAAAGGGAAAATATAAATGTGGTTTAAAGCACAACTCAGCTGGGCTCAGGAGTTGGCCAGAAGCTGTGCTGGGTTTGTGCAGGGGGAAAGAAGGCTCTGAGGCAGAGTGTCTGCACTCCACATCTGCAGACTCCCAAAGTTCCTCCTGGTGTGACCAGAGCAAAGGCAAGGAGCAGATCCCACTTCCTACATGCCAATTAGCAGTGACCTCCCTGCTGCAATGCATGCAGCCCTCTTGCTGCACGGAAAGACAGCTCCTTGCAGGGACTGTTAAATTTATCCATTCTCATGACATTTTTGCCATTTTTTACAGAAAACAGCTTCTAGACACTTAAATAAAGGATGTTTAAATTCTTCCCTGTACTGCTTGCTAGTTCTGCTGCCATGTCAGCTGGTTGTATATTCACACTCAAGCTGGGGCCACACTCGGTTTCCTCTCAGTATTTGCCTGGGAATGACTTGATGGCACAAGGCACCAAGTGGGCTGGCAAGCCCAAAGGGCCCCAGGAACAGAGCATTTCAGGAGGGTGCTGGCCTGCTGGATTTGTGAAATATATCACCCATTTCTGTACACATCGAGTGCACAGAGCAACTTACGCATGTAAAAGTTATTTAATGATCATAAGCAAAATTCATGGAAGTCAAGCACGTTTCATCAGCATCCTCCTTCAGGTCTGCTTCCCACCTCCTTCCTCTTGAAACAGCTCCTCACTGTTCTGACGAGGTTCACAAGGGCATCTTTGACAACACTACTCTCACTTCATAAAATCCTGGTTCCTACTGCAGGCCACAGCTCTCTTACCTCCCTGACAGCATCTCCTGCTGCGGATCCAGCTGCCAACTTAAACTCCATAAAAATTAACTTGGATTTTTTTCCTCTCCAACCTCTCTAAACGCTCAGATTCCTCTGTCACCATAAGTGTTTCCTCCACCTTCCCATTCAATTGCTCAGGCCCATAACCTAGGTATGATCTCTAATTCACCCTCTTCAGGTCATGCCCTTTGCCTGTCACCTCCACTTTCAGAAATTTTTAAAGATTTAATCTTTCTTGACCAAGCCTTAACCACCTATGGGAAAGTCAGTGCAGAGGAAGGGTGTCAGGCAAGGTTTGACTTGCTGAGGCAGGCAGACACAAGCCAGCTGAAGCCTGAAAATCATGTAAAGGTATTAAAGTGATGCTATATCCAAGCTAACAGGGTCTTCTGAGATAGCTGAGAAGCACGTGTTGATTCCTGCCCAGATCCCTATAACAGCTTTTCCTCTGGCCTTCACATCAGTTGCGTTGCTGTAGCTCACACACTTCACCTCCCCTCAAATATTATTGCTCGACATCCTGGTGTGGCCTCCAGCCACAGCATCATCCTCTACATCCTGCTCCTCCTCTTCATCAGGTGTGAGAGCTTTAATGTGGCTATCATGCCTGCCACCTTATCTCACAGCTCACCAGCAGGAGTCTTTGAAATCATGAGTCAGTCCCATCCCTCTCGCCAGCAGAAAATATGAGACAAGCTTGGAAAGCATGAAATTAATCATCAGTTTTACAGCCGCCTTCTTGCTGCCTTGGACCTCGCAACCATGGAGAATTGAGGCTCATTCACTGATCTGTGCCAGACAGAGGGGTTTGCAGCAGGCTGCTGGCTCAAAGTTTTGCTACTTAAGACTAAAGTTTTGATTAATATAGGAAGCAAAAAATTTCTTTTACATATATTACTAAACAACAAAGTGTTCATATAACATGCAAGCAGCCATTCTGACCCACTAGAAATTTGTTAAACTGCAAGATCTGGGGACTTCTTAGGTCAAACAGTTAACTAGACCACCTCAGTGACCAGCACAGATGCTTAAAATGATGGGAAGTTTCGCTAGCCCCTCCGTATTCTTATCGAAGGATTAATGAAAACTGGTTTATTTGCTTATGAATAGCTCCCACTTCTCTCAAAACTGCTAAGAAGAGTACAGCTTCTTTTTCTTTCTCCATTCTCCCTCCCTGTTCCAGCCAGCACACACACACCGGGCTGAGCGAGGGGCTATCTCTTAATCTCTGCTGTGGTATCAAGTTGCAGCGAGCTTGCAGCTTGGCTGCGAGTTCAAGCTGGAACCAGATGACTTACTTCACTGCAGTTTCTCATGACATCTTGGTAATTAATGTCCTAGATCTCACTCCATCTCCTCTCTGAGGAGAGCAGCTCTTATTTAATTGCCTCATAATGTATACTCAAAATGAATACTTGCCTAATTGTCCCTAGACAGATGCTTGGATGAAAGCCTGTGAGAAAGCATATAGGATCTAATGCTGAATAGAGGCCCACAAAGCACAATAAAGCAAAAACTTATAACTCTTCGTTACTCTCTAATCCACCAAAACAACAAACTTGAATTTTTAAGATACTCCAGAGTTATAAATTCATAATAAAAAATTGTTATCTGCTGTTTCCTCTCCCCTTCATCTATACAGAATAAGATCTTGAGGAAGATTTCTTTAATGTGACAACTTAAATAGGAAAGGATAAATCTTTGAAGTGCAGTGTGATGCTTGAGTTATGCTACTGCATTTTGTGGAATGGCATTATCAAAATCCAATGACAGTCTGTGTATGGACACTGTAAAATGCCTACAGATCCATATCTTCACCTCTGTCTCAGTAGGAGCTACTCTGTACACCCTATTCTGTTCAAAGGCATTCAAACACTGGTGCGACAGACAAATCAGCAGAGCCTCATATGAAAAGCCCAGTTTGATTCATATCTTGCTATGATATGTTATTATATTATTAATTGTATGATATTATTACATCATAATATCATATTACTTACTACATCACTATTTGTGTTCTCTCTGAGATCTCAGGTTCAGTATGACCTGTCAGAGATAGGTATGAAGCCAGAAACCATCAAAAACTCCAGGACAAGCAGCACCTATTCTTATTATATTTCAGCCTGCTGTCATTTAAAGGTTTTAAGAAGCCCATAAAAGAGCAAGAAACCTAAGTGAGGTAATTTACTAACAACATTTGATAGCTGCAGCAACAACAATGTTTCATCAATAACCTGTTCCACAATAACAAGTTTGGCCACAATGTGCAGAATTTATCCATGGAAGTAATTTTGTAAATGAAACCATTGTGAACATGAGGAATTACATTTAAGTATTCAGCGTTCTGTGACATTGAAAATTATTCAAAAGCATCACGGGTTCTAAGTATTAGAACCAGCATTACTGGCTCTATGTATTACACAGGCTCAGATACTAAAGATCTTCTAGTCAATAGGTTGTAAGATCCACTATTTCTAGCCATCTTAACCTGTTTGTTAAGTTCATGATTAATTTTTCTTTATTTACTGTTTTTAGCCAAGTAAAGAAAATAAAAATTTACAGTTTCACTGGATTTTTTGAACGTTTTTTCCTAACAGATCAACTGAATTTTTCACTTAAAAAATAATAATATATATATACATGTATATAAATTTTGTTTTCTTGCTTACTTTGAAGGGGAGTGAAGGAGGGACTAAATTAAATACTAATAAAACTGCTGTTTAAGCTAAAACAAAATTTGTTTTTTTTCATTTCATTTGAAATGTTAAAATATGTCCAGGTCAACTCACCCCACTCTGCCAAAAAAAAAAAAAAAAAAAAAATTAAGCTAGCAGCTTCTCGGGCCAGCTGCAGAAATGAAAGTCAATCATTCTAAAAGCTCTCCACAGCAGGACTCATCCCAAATTGCATTTCCATCTCACAGCCTTGTGTCCTATGGAGACAGCAGGACGCACACACACGGAATTATAAGATTGCCCTAGCTGATCCCTTCACATCACTAGATGGATGACGTAGTTCAGCACAGCAGACGCTGAATCATAAAAATGGACAGAGTTTGGTTGTACTGTTCCAAGTCTACGACAACAGAGCAGTACGGACAAGAGGAAAGAAACGGATTCAGCCTGCAGCTTGATATGGGGCCCAGAATCTGATTTTGACTATTGACACAACAGCAGCCTCTGCCAAAGTCAAGATATGACATGCCCAAATTGCCATAGGACAACAGTTCAGGATGCTGCTAAAGAGCAGAATACAGACTCTCTTAAAGTAAAGCATTACTAAATGTCTTTAAAAAAATTTAACAGGTTTGCTGTGTTGTGTTTTTTTGTTTGTTTGTTTGTTTTTTGTTTGTTTTCTGTTTATGTAGTAAGCAAATCATTCAAATTCCCATATCATACCATTGAAATAAATCTGCTAAAAAGTAAGTGGTTTTTTTAGCATGTTCTTGGTAACTTTTCAGGGAATAAAGTCTGTGCCTAATATTTAACAAGAAAATAAAACAACTTGGCAAAGCAGCCTTTTAAAAATGGAGTAAAACACATAAATTAAAAGATTTGTTGGTCATTCAAATGGCAGAAATATTATCCTGTCTGCAGTCTATTATGAGATATTACATATGTTGTGCTGGGAGTCAAACAAGTTTAAAGAACAAAGTGGGTAACTTCATTTACTTTAAAACACAGTTCATGTAGAGTACATAGGTATTGCACACTTACTATGATGTTAAATGCTAGAAATGAACAGTTGCTGTTACTTCAAAAGACTGGGGGGAAGAGTGCTCTCCCCCACCTCCACACAAAATGGGAAGAATTTAGGAAGCATTTAGGCAGACTTTTCTATTGTAGTTTTTTCTACATACACTAGGAATTCACAAGAAAACCCCAACCATTCCCTCAGCAAGGAATTCAAAACAATATGTGAACACCCAAACTATACTTTCTAAATATTAACATCCTGATGTGAACAAAAACACGCTCAGCACCACAGACTGCAGAACACAGATGCTTTTATTTCTGAATATGGAAGATATATTTGATACTGACTCTATAATGCTTGCCTCTCTCTACTTTGCCTTTGTCCAAACATCAGATTGCCATATCATCAAAAAATTGCTGTTGAAAGTTTCTTGTGTTTGTTTTTTTTTTTTTTAAAAAAAAAAAAAGAAAATGGCAAGACCAATGAAGAGACCCTTCCCAATCAAACAAGTTTAGATATTGTTTGTTTTTTTTTTTTTTAATTTCTTCTTCAGAACAGTTTTGTCTGAAAAATCAGTTCCCTAAAGGAATTAAAAAAAAATGTTTTGTTTCATAATTATTAGAATAAAGTGGAGCAAGAAAACGTCAGATCCCTACACTGACAGTTTGTCAATGAAGATATTGTTAGCAATCAATACACAAAAAGAAGAGAAAGGAAAAATTTAAACATGGTGATGAAATCTTGGCCCTAATGACATGCCTGGTTGTATGTGGCATGCCATAATGCTACCTTAGGTCACCTTAAAGGCTAACAAAATTTTAATGTCACTTTCCTCAACAGTAATTATGACTTTGGCTTTCCATTAAAAACAGAATGTAATACGAAATTTACACTTCTTCAAGAAAAATAAAAATACTGGATTTTATTTCAAGTCACCTGTAAAACACAGAATCGCAGTATGGCTGAGGTTGGAAGGAAACTCTGTGATCATCTCATCCAATGTCCATACTCAATGTGTTCACCTAGAGCACATTGCACATCGCCTTTTAAGAAACAAAGAAAATCAAATTTTTAATCTCACAGTAAGTAGCAACAATGGTAATGTTGTGTACATTAAAAAATGTTGTTGCATAGTAGATTACCACAAACATGTTAACCTTGCAAACAGAAATCTCTTCTGGGATAAATAAGAGAGATTTTGCAAAACTGCAGGCTTTGGTATCTTACCTCTACATGAAAAATAAGCTTCTTGGTCTCCTGTGATGATAAATTTTATCATAGAGGGATGGGTGTTAGAAAGAAGTGTTACTTTTTTAGTTATTTGCCTAGAATTAGATTTTTTTTCAACCAATTAAATGACCTAAACTCAGATTTAGACTTTGACTCAGATTCCTCTATTCTGAAGTCCTCTAAAAGAACTTAGAAGTTTAAAGGTTTATAATTAAAAAGACAGTCTAGATGGCCCTCTTCTCTCTCACTGTTTCTTTCTCTCTCTCTCATGAAACATGTAAGTTTTGCCAGCTTTCTTCGCCACAAGAGCTCCTTCTTCCTTTTATTTGGTATGTGCTGCCAAAATTGGTGAGCTGTTAGTGAGGAGCTCTGCACTCAGCCCCTCAAATAAATCAGGAGAAATTCCAGGGCCTCAATTTGAAATGGACCTCCAGTAGAAAACCAGCAGGACAGTCCAGGAGTTTGGGAAATTTAGTAATATATCACAGGATAAACTAAATGCAACTAGATCCTAAGGCAGTTACAACTCACTGAAGAGGGTGGAACTCGAGACTTTAAAGTTGCTGTTGTTCTGGCACCATTTCTCTGCTAAACTAAAATATTTACAGTGCACAGTAGTAAGCTGCAGACATCACAGATCCCTAAAGATCTTTCTTAAAATAAAATTCCACAGCACACACAAATCATTTGTCTCACAATGCAGATACTCCAGCACAACTCAGTCTGGGACATTATACAACTTTTGCTTTATTTTCCACTTTAAAGTATTTAATTTGGAAATTCCTGTAATCCTTCCTCAATTTCTTCCTCATTCAACTCTGATCTTTATGTACAATTGAGGAAAACCCCTATATTTTACTGGTAGTCTGTACATTTTACCAAAACCAAATGCCTTGTGACCTTGATGTGCAGAGACTTTGCAACCAGTATGGACCACCAAAATCAGTTGGGATTTATATGAGCCATTAACTAAGTTCAAAATCCATTTACTGACCCCTTTATATCTGTCTTTGCACTACTTAAAAAAGTATTTTATCTGGAACATGACCTGTCCTTTTCTCAGACTTTGAAAACAATTATGATATTGCATATACAACAGCACTCTGATATTGATTGCATAAAACAATGAAACAAACACTGTGAGCAAAGCGTGAGCAAAGCCATTATTGTATTTTTATTATTTGATATATATTGGATGGATATTTCTTCACAGGAAACACCAGACCAGGCCCAAATATAACTGTACCAGAAGCAGAGACTATGTTATAAATGCACTGCATTTGGCAGCTAAGATTTTTCAAGAAATTCTCCAAACAAGTAACTCAAGAATGGCAGAAAGAGCCAGAAGAAGACAAAAACCAATGATAAATAAAGGCTAAATGATTTCAATTTGTTGAGATGAGAGAACAGCATGAAGAATTTCAGAGGATTTGAGAAAGCTACAGCTATACATCAACCTGGCAGATGAAAGTCATGCAAAACAATATGTATTGCAAGAAATAATTTCTTCTACAGTAAGAAAACCATTCATAAAAAATGTTAGTGACACCATGTGCAAGTATCTTTTGAAATGTGCAGGGACAGATGTGGGTTTTTAAGGATATATAAAGCATATGTGCACAAAATAATACCAAAGGGATTATAGAGTCACTCAGTAAATCAGTGGGGTACTTGTCTACAACTCTGGCTACTGTAAAAGAGATGCTGTAACAATGGAATGGTCTCAAAAGAATGGCATAACAACATGAAAAGACTTCCATAAGAAAATAAAATATTTGGTAGCTCACAGAGGATACTCATAAGAGGAGAAATGATAGCCACGCTTCAAAACTACAATGACTGAGGACCTCACCGCTTTGTGATTACAAAATAATTACAAAAAGAAGGGACTATTCAATACAAAACTGTAGCTAATTAAAGGGTAAAACATATTATTTAAGCAAGAAAATAGTAAAGCTGTAAATTTAATTGCCAAACAGTATCATCACAGCCCAAACCATTCTGCAGGTCCAGAATGCATAGGGCTTCCTACAAATAGTACAACCCCCTTTGTGGATATACAGAAGGGGTTGTACCAGCACCCTCCATAAGGCCCTGAAGCATCATGAGCAGCTTGAGTTAAATGAAGGAAAACTACCACAGCTGGAATTTCTCACTCGTTCTGTTGAATCACCTGACCGTGACTGCATCAAAAGCAAGACAGTAGCCACCAGGTACATATAAGTTGCCACCACCCCATTGATTTGTGGCCAGTGACACAGACAAACCCATGAATTTACTCCTAGAAAGCTGCTAACTGAATTATTGGAACATGTTCCATGTCTCCACTTTTACAGGAGAAATTATTAACTTGTACAGTGAAAGTTATTCTGGGCAGTGTCTACAGCATCCACCAGAGAGCATGTTCACCAGAGAGTTGTTTGTCAGTGGCTCCATGTCCAGGTGGAGGCCAGTGACGAATGGGGTCCTTCAGGGGTCTGCCCTGTGACCAGTGCTGTTTAACATCTTTATTAATGACAAATAGTGGGATCAAGTGCACTCTCAGCAAGTTTGCCGATGACATCAAGCTGAGTGGTGCGGTTGATACAACAGAAGGAAGGGATGCCATCCAAAGGGACCTGGACAGGCTTGAAATGTGAGCCCATGTGAACCAAATGAGGTTCAACATCTCTAAGTGTTGGAGTAGTGTTGCACCTGGGTTGGGAAGATCCCAGACTTGAGGACAGACTGAGAGAAGAACTCATTGAGAGCTGCAGAGAAGGACCAGGCGTATCTGGTGGGCAAAAGGCTCGACATGAGCCAGCAGTATGTGTTTGCAGCCCAGAAGACCAGCTGTGTCCTGGGCTTCATTAGCAGAGGAGAGGCCAGCAGGCCAAGGTGATTGTGCCCCTCTGAT